ACCGCATAGGTATTTGCATTTCAATATCCCCTACCTTTTTTGAAGAGTATATTTGTGATTTATTCAAACACTTTAAGCCAACAAGTCGATTCGTTATAGGCCTATAGTACCCGAGTATGCAGAGACAATTCAAAATAATGTCGTTCTTTTATGACAAATAACATAGAAAATGGCATTTAACAGTGTTACATAAGGCTTAATTGCAACCTAAAAAATACTTGAGAAAATACTTATTGATGAAAAAGGCATTTGTAATAGAAATTGCGTAAATCTGATATCGCCTGTACATTGAGATAATCTGTTGCTTACACTCCCTTGGAGACTGACAAATAAGATCAGTAAACATATCAGCAGTGAGAATCAGCTTAACTCGATGTGGAATACCATTTAATTAATCTCATGTTGCCAATTAAGAAGGAAGATCATCCATAAGGGTCTTTGCTAGTTGACAATAACTGTAACATTGTCACCGGAGATTGGAAGACGACCATATTAAATTCCCTTCCGTTTTCTTTAAACCGATGATGAATATCTATCCAATCTGGTCTCACTAACGTCACAGAGACGACCGCACGGACTAGTCATAAGCACCATATAGAACAGGTTTAACTCAAAATTAATGTCACGAGTCTACCGTAAAATCACTTATTAACTGTAATCACATAAGGAAATTTGACGTTTCTCTTGAGTTTTCTGCTCCCGTGGGACAACTGTGAGAAGTTTTTGGCAGATTTAGTGTTCGTGTTACTTTACAATTTGTCAAATTAATTAAATCAATTTTACGACATGAAGCACATGCACGACTATACAACTAGTGCCGAAGTGGAGTCAGCGGAGCCAAATATATGATAGCGAAAGGGAGCGTAAGAGAGAGATGGAAGTGGGGTTTAACGTCCACTCGACACAAACTAAGTCATTTCGGGACATAACATGGTTCAATTCTATTTTAAGAATTCGCTTGCGAGTATATAGACCCGGGGGGGGGGGGGGGGTCCATCAAATGAGCACAAAACCAGACCCAACTTTTCTAGAGTAAAATGTTTTCGTAGAACACGATGCCAAGTGGTAATCAGGGGCGTTTTCGAGATATTCGGCGTCATTTGCACTGAAAGTGAATGCATAGCCATCCTTGTATCATGAAAACATGCTGAAAATGATCGAAAGTAATCACTCTTTCAATAAAAATGCTAAATTCACCTGATTTGATGATATATTTGGACTAAAAACATATTCAAACTAATTAATTTATCATAATTTTGCTTCAAATCCTTCTCAAAACATTGCAATTGTCAGGGAATACCCTGGCTATAAAAAATCGATCAAAAGAGTTCATGTTTGTGTCACGTGACTTACCTCTGTTGGTACCTAGCAACGGGTGCGAAGTCGGGGGAGAATTCATTGCACACACAAGACGATGTTGTCTTTAATCGCCGACTATTTATTACAAATATCGAAGCATAATTAAATTCTCGGAGTATCTACTGCCCGCGTCTTTTTCCGTGATTTTTATCTCAGAAAGTGTGGTACGTCTAACTCTTCATAAAGTTTATCAACATGTAAATCAAGCGCTCAATCTCACCGTGCAACCTTTGACGTCACACGTGCAGACACTCCTAATCACCGGGCTGTCGATTAGGGAAACCCTTATATTTTTGTCCTGTATGCGCTCAGGGAATCCAGTATTTTTCTAGTAAGATTTGATATTTCTACGTTCCATATATACCAAAATTGCCATACTTTTATTGGAAATAACCACCCGATAAATACTTTTCTGGGAACGTATCTTAAATCTTATCTTAAGGTGGTCTTAGCACCGTACATTTACTTTGAAACCGATTTAGTTTAACAACGATTATTATGTATGAAACTAGTTGTCCTTGAATGGTTACATGGTTGGACTCCAGCCTGCAGGCCGCATGGATTTCTGGGAATCCCAATCTGGAAAAACCGACGTTAATCTGTGACCGGAAAACACGTATCTGTCGACGTGATTGAGGGTTTGCAAATTTTTTATGAGTTTTAATGAATTTCGCCGGAACATCGCCACAGATAAAACCGACGGATGCATTGTACATAATAGCTCACGGGATATAAATGCCGTTTTCCTAAATGCTACCGGTGAAAAGTTTGACAGGCTTCGTGACGCGACCTGCGGGCTGGAGTCCAGCCATGAAACTATTCAATTGTTTTTATTTTCGGACAACTAGTTTCATTATGTATAGCTATCGTTGTGAAACTATATCGGAGAGATTTTGATTTGACAGTTTTTACGTATTTTTGAAACAGGTTTCGAAGTGTTGTGGTTCTGTTATGCAAGATCTTGTATGGTCTTGGACTTAATTTCGGGAAAAATTGTCTCTGCTAGAGAAAGTTAGATAGTGAAAGAATATGGAGCGGAATTTACGTCATAATCTTAACGCCTTGCTTGGTAATGCGATATGCTTACTTCTATGCATGTAACGTCTTACTTACATATGTTAAATTGGCTATTTACACATGTAAAAATGCTAATTTATAATCTAGAAATACATCAGTAGAACAAAGGTTTTTTGTGTTTGTTTTGTTTTATAAACAATATTTTATTGCATTTGAAATTGGATTGAGAAAAAAGAAATGATAATACAGATATAAGGCTGATTTAAAGGAGCTAAATCACTAATATTTGTGACCTAGAAATTTACAAAAATGGGTCGCAACGCATATAATAATGTAATATGAATGTATAAAAACTGATTTACATTCAATCGTTTCTGTTTTTACTGTAATTTCTAATCATTTATGTTCGGCGAAATACGCCAGAAGTCTCATGTGAATGGCAATCTTTAACGTCTGGTTTTTCCCGGTTTTTCCAGTCTACACCGATGGTATTTATTGCGCATGCTCTCCAGATAAGAATATAGCGTCACCATTTGACATGACTTGTGGAATATGTCTATCCCTGTTCTTTGAGTCCCTTGTTCCAAATGGCGCTGAAACGCATTATGGTACACGATTCGTGTACCAATGGTAAAATGTTTATTTTGTCTTGAATATTGGATATCAGAAGCCCATCTTTTCCCTGTAAGATCACAAGACCAATGTTGATTTGAATTGACAAATAATTCGTGTTTTCAATGTCGAAGATTTTTGATGATATTGAGTTAGAGACTTAGCTACTTTAAACAAGTGGTTGCCATGCAAGATACGGCCACATTTTTGCAAGAAATGGACGGATAACAGTGAAAATCGATAGGGCTCTTCCTCTCATTGTCCCAGTGCCTGATATCGAATTTGAAAACATCCGTGAAAATCGATAGGACTCTTCCTCTCATTGTCCCAGTGCCGGATATCGAATTTGAAAACATCCGTTAAAAACTGTAAGCCTCTACGTTCACAAGATTTTCGGAAAAGAGGGATAACTCCGGAACGCAAGGTCACGGAACACCCATGGCCGGAGAACATGGTAAATCGATAGGGCTCATCCTCTCAATCCAGTGCTTCACATCGGACATGAAAAAAACCTGTTAAAAACTGTAGGTAGGCTCCATCGCGTTTACAAGGTTTTCGGCTCAGGGAGGTTGCAGAACGCTGAATATCGAAAGAGTTTTCGGCTAAGGGGGCATAACCTAATGCGAAAAAAAAAATCTGTTAAAAAGTATAGTCTCTATCGCGTTCAGAATGTTTTCGGAAAAGGGGATAACCAATCCAAGATCTTTCGATCCTTAACGCATATTTTAAGTTTCATCTGAAATTGGTTGCACAAACTTCGTACATATTTTACTTTTGCATAAAAGGCAGTGGCCATAACTCAAGATGCGCACCACAATCAATCTCCAAGATCTTTTGATCCTCAACATATATTATATACGTTAAGTTTCATCTGAATCGGACGAAAATTGTGGCCTCTTGTGGGCCCACAAACTTCGTACATACTTCCAAAATCGAACTCACTTGTGATTGTTGTGTAATAAATATATAGTTGAACGTTAATCAAAATCTAATAAAAATTATGACTACTGCAGGGCCCACAAGCTATGTACGCAATTTTTGTGCAATCAGTAGCTATAATCCAGGAAGTTACGGTCCGATATGTACCAAAATCGAACCCATACGAGATCTTTGGGACATAAACATAAATTTAAGGTTTAAAAAAATATCGAATAAAAATTGTGACCTCTAGAGGGTCCACAAGCTATGTACACGATTTTCGTACAATCAGGAGGTACAACCCAAGAAATTACCTTGAGATATGTGCCAAAATCGAACCCATCCGAGATCTTTGGGATATCAACATATAGTTTAAGTTTCATCAAAATCGGATAACAAATTTTATCACCCAATAATATATTCTACAGTAGATATCGCTTGTGTGATAAATTTCATAATGATATCGCTTTACATGAATTTGATTGGTTAGTTAAAAAGGAACTACTTTTTTTATTTTCAAAGAACAATTTATTTTTTATTGAAAATAACTTCTTTTTTTTTATATTGAAAATGAACTATTTTTTTATTTAATTAACCTTGAAGGAAACACTGGGTCAATATAAAGGACTTTGCAATGGTTGAACTGCTGTCAAAAAATGACGTATCACTACGCCGTAATGTAATCATGTTCAGTAAAAGTGAAATCTATAGCAAAGAATTATATTTATTTATTTGTGCATGTAAGAAAGGATTGGGTGATAAATAAAATCTCCTACTCGTCCTTTTTGATATAAAATAAAGACTCGTAGGAGATTCTGTATGTAACCTGTAGACATAATAATTGTCTATACTAGCGTATGTTGACTAATCAATTTTAAGTTTATATACCTTTGCAGCCCTGTCAAATATCATTGATATAAATTTATTTTTTACAAATGTATAGGCCTGGAAACATTAACAAATATAAGAGTGGGGGGGGGGTGTTGACAGTTACTCCGGAACCCCTCCATGGGAGCATAATATGGGACTTTCAGAGGGTGTTCACAATGCCGAACTATACCAATTTTAAATTTGTTTGGCCTTTATCCAATTAGTTATGACACCAAACTGAAGAATAAGACCAATAAGAGCAGTGAATCGTTCGCCCAATCTCCATAGAGATCTCCTACCTCCTAACGCCAAACCGGTGATTTGGATGTGAAATTAAATGAAATAGAGTTTAAAGTCCTGCCGTGTGGTATGAACACAGGCATACGCCATGCAGTGTGTTATGAGGGAAATTTTTCACGGACAGTGGCGCTACGGCTACTCTTATTTCAAATTCCAACTGTCAAGGGTTCTATTACATGCACATCATTGGGTTTTCGTCGTCCCATTAGAACGACTAGACACTGTTTCTTGTTAGGCACTTCGTCCTGCACTACTGACAAGGGGAAACCACGCTGGAAAACCCGAGGAACTTTCTCTTCCAACACCGAGAGCGAACTTTGGACTTCCTGATTAGCGAGCCAGTGTCTTACTTACTGAGCCACCGCATTTCCCGATGATTTGAAAGCTTGACCCAATATAAAGCTTGATTACTTGAATAATGTCAAAAATACTTTACTGCGTAAAATATATCATAGTTTTGAGGGGAAGAGATACGCTAAATTAATCATTACCTATTTATATTTATTCACTTTCGTGCATAACGTACCCATGTGCGTTAGATCACGAGGTCTGTCATTGAGTCAAGTGGCGTGGTTTCGATTCCATGCTTGTACGTGACAAGGAGCGGGGTCGCCTGTCCAAACTCGAGGGTTTTCTCCGGGCCCTCCGATTTCCTCCCACGGACAAAGACCCCTACGCGCATGCGAATTATTTACATCCCGTCACCTATGACGAAATCAGCAATGGGTCTTGGCTTTTAGACCTAACCCACTTACCGCGTAACATTTGTTAGAAAATTTATATACGCTAAATTTTACGTTAAAGGACAATATTGGTGCCAGTCATTATCACATATGTGATAGAACTGGTTAAACACGTTCCAAATATTATTTTATCACAGAGATCATTGCTACGATAGATGAGTAATCAATGTTTCAACAATAGGAAGTGACGAACGCAAAAGGAAAACACGAGTTATCCCTTTATATAACTGAATGAAGTGACAGGTGATAACAGATACATGGGCGAATTTCTGCTCACTAATAGTTCCTTCGAAGACCAAAAGTTGTGTTATGGGACTGTGAAAGGATATCTGACAATTCATAAACAAAATTGACTCTCACTAGATAAGAGAACATGCAAGAAAAATAGAAAAAGTCCGTGCATTACCATGTTTTTATTAGTATAGAATGAATAAACACCCGTGATTTTACGGACTGTTTCTATTTTTCTCGTGTTCTCTTATCTAATGGCATGCAATTACTTTTTTGAATTGTCAGATATACTCTTACAGTCTTATATAACAACTTTCCGGCGTGGTTCCCCCTTGTCAGGGATGCAGGACCGAGGGCCTGACAAGGACACGTAAATGATCCCTTGGCAGTTGGAATTCGATATAAGAGTAGGCGATAGTGCCGCTGCCCGGGCAAAATTTCCCTCATAGCACACTGTATGGCGTATGCCCGTCTCCATTAGCCCAGGATAGGAGCAGAACAGTAGGACGTTAAACCCCATTTCATTTCATTTCATTTTCGTGATATTGTTCTTATTCTATGTTAAAATTGAATTTGATTTACATGTTCATCACAATGAAACCAAATGATGAATAATGGCACGGGTCCAGTATTGAGCCCCTTAACGTTCACTCGACACACAATAGATCATTTTGGGACTAATATGGTAAAATTTTATTTGAAAAATTCGCATACGTAGGGGTCTTTAGCAGTGGGTGGAAACTCAAGGAACCCCCCCCCCCCCAAAAAAAAAACAGAACAAAAAAAAACATGGTTGTAATGGTTGTCACGTACAAGCTGGGAATCGAAACCACTTGACTCAATGACATCCTTTAGCACACGTTAGTGCACTCCCCGAAATTCTTCAATAACAGTATTGAAATCATTCTTAATTGACAGTAATATTACTACTTCATTTCGTTTTGAAAGTTAGCACCACTAAGAATTTAGTGAACAGGACAGCTGTATTAATTGGAAATGTTTTTTACGTTTTATTTTGTCGGGTGTCTATATGGGGAGCCGATTGCGACTTTATTGTCAACTCAAAATATATACCCTAAACCCTATAAATATGACAAACTTGGTTTTATTTCTTTGGTAAACTTTAAATTGATGCTAAACTCCAAATATATATGACATGTAAACTTAGATGTGACGCTAAACTCCAAATTTATACATATGATCAACTTCAAATATATGACGTTCTTCTTTTATAGATGACAAACTAAATATATATGCGGAACTTTCTAAATACATGCTAAGTTAGACTCGGATTACCGGCCTTGAAAGTTGGCTATGTTTGTATCTTGTTATTCGAGTCTAGGAGTCGTTTCGGAAACACAAACCGAAAAGCAATAACAATGCCGCGCGTGAGATTGACAAGTACAAATAATTTGTCTCGATTTATTATAGCTACACAAGAACTAATTACAGAAATTCTCGGAAGTGTATTAGAAGACAATGGCGATGTAAGTCTGGACAGACTTGAGTAGCTGGAATCTCGTTTAGAGGATGCCGACTAAACAGTATTTCTTATAAGGCAAAAAGCAGAACAAATCAATATGACTAATAATAATACATTGCCTGAAATATCTCAACTTCGGCACGACATGGGCGAACTTTGTCGATATCTGAATGTACTCCGTAGTCATCTAGAAAGCATAGCCTCTGAGGAACGTGACCGACGACAAGTGGAAGTGAATTCCTCTTTTAGATGTCCAACAACCAGCACTGGAAAAGGGGAAGACCTCAATGTCTAGTATCCATTGAACAAGTAGAATTTCTTAGGGAAATGCATTTTTCCTGGACCAAAATTGCCCATATTATTGGCGTTTCTAATAAAACATTAGAGAGAAGAAGAAACGAAATGGGTATAATGCATGATTTTAATTGGTTAGAGTTGTCATGGAGGAAGTGCGACAATTGACTCCTGGGATTGGACAAACTAGAATGCAATGAGCACTACGAAGCCAAGGTCTGAGAATCCAGCGTCAAAGGGTTAGGGGTGGTTTAAAGGAGCTCGATCCTGTTGGTACAGCACTAAGTTGGAGACAGGTGATTCAGCGACGAAAATATGCCAAGTCTCCTAATTCCTTGTGGCACATTGGATGGAAACCACAAAATGATCAATTAGAGATTCATTGTCCATGCAGCCATTATACTTTATTTGTACTGTGCTACAAACAATTTTGCAGAAACCGTGAAAATCTTGTTTGAAAAAGCAGTGCAAAAGTATGGTCTACTCTCTAGAGTCAGAAGTGACCATGGACTTGAAAATATTGGGAGTTGCAAGAATAATGCTTGCTCAACTGGTTTCAATAGAGGGGGCATTATTACAGGGAGCTCGGTGCATAATCAGAGGGTGGAAAGACTATACAGAGATGTGACGAGTGGAGTATTAAAGATACATTATGGGAGATTCGGTAACGAGTTGGCAGTTCTCACTATAATAGTTAAAAACTAGATAATGTAAAGCCTATTTGGTGAAAATTTCATTCAAATTGATCCACTATGAACCGAGAACTAAGCGACTGAAATTCCCCATAAGCCTCGGTCATCATTACTAAAGTCAGTACGATAAACAGCATAGTCTTGATTATCCATTTAATCGTTTAATCGAGAAGGAAAGTTATGCAGTAAATCGGCTTACAATCCACTAAAGATCGCAGGCTAGCGCTGCCATCTAGTGTTGATTATGGCCTGGATAGGTTAATTAATGTCTAATTAATAATTTAGATAACATTTCAGGCCTAAAGAAAGACCTGAAATAGGCAGATTTAGCTCTTGCATAATGTATGTTTAAGAGGATATATAAAGCAATTGAGTGCTATCTTTTTGCACTCTTTTTGATCCATGGAAGAGTTCTTTATCTCTACCGTTGTGTTCCACGATTCCAATATTTTCAGGTAGCCCTACTGTACTAGATTGTATAAGCTTCTCTTCTTCCCATGGACACAAGTTATGTCTGTAACGTCTGTGTCATCTGTATCATCTTCATCAATATTTTCATCATTAAGACTTTTATTTGGGAGAAGATAAATGCATCCTTGACTTGCAATACTGGGGACTCTGGCAGCATCCATTTTCACACCATGTGCAGTATTTGGCACCACAATTTCTCCATAACAAGCCTTGACATAAGTAAAATCAGCAGCTTTTTCTTCCAATACCGCAGACATTTTTTATTTCGAACGTTAGCTTGTCCTCTGTCCAGGATTTATCAACTGGGAATTCGTGAACCACAAAGCCTTTGTGCTCAAGCGTAATTCTGGTCCTGTGTGTTGGGACAGTTTTCTGCACCGGTATTGGTAATAAAATAATATCTTTATATACGTGTGACCCCACCCTTTTCTTTTTAGGCATGGTTTGAGTTGATGATCTAGTCCTTGAATTTGAATATGATGCTTGACGTTTTGATTGTCCAGTTAGGCCTAGTGATGGAAATTTCTGACTTAGAGCCTGTGGTATTGAATGTATCATACTGCCACTGGGGGCGATACTGTTTGCGCTAGGCTGGCTTAAGTTAGAAAAGGAAGTATTTGCGCTTGACTGGCTTGAGTTAGAATTTATAGAAAGTGAAGTATATTCACTCAACTCAGCAGGCAACTGACCTGTGCCACTTTTCACAGGACTACCTGACATTGGAGAAGGTTGAACTAACATTCTTTCAACTGATGAGAGTGGAAGGTTTCTGTAGGCTCCCAGCAGACTGTTAGCCTGCTGGGCGATGTTGCTCAGCGCTCTTCTCAATTTTGTAACTTCCGAGTATTCGTTAGCCATTTTTAATAGTGCGCTAACGGTCAAATAGCAGGACTTGTGGAGAACAGGGTTAAATGGCGGAAAATTGGGTTGTAATTGGCGCGAAAACGGCATACTTTCCTGTGTTTCCGGTATGAAGATATTTCGCCTATCCCATTTTCGGTCTTAACTATACGCCGCACTACATTAACGTCATCTATGGTCTGAGTCCAGTATTGCCGACGCATACATAATACATGTAATTATATACTACGGTCATGTTAGACTCAATTTGGATCCAATAACCTCTCACCGTCATCAAAGTTGACCGTCATCTCTATATGACGTCAAAACCTCACTAGTTTGGGGGCGAAACGACTCCTAGACTCGAATAACAAGACGTAGGCAAAGTTAACTTCTGAGACCGGTATTCCAGGTATTTAGAACTTAGCATGAATTTAGAAAGTTCCGCATTTAGAACGTCATTTATTTGGAGTTAATCATAAATAAATTTGGAGTTTAGTATCAAGTCTAAGTTTACATGTCATATATATTTGGACTTTAGCATCAATTTAAAGTTTACCAAAGAAATAAAACCAAGTTTGTCATATTTATAGAGTTTAGCGTAAATATTTTGAGTTGACAATAAAGTCGCAATCGGCGCCCCATATGTCTTTGCTGCTGGCGTTCCTATGCCAGATTTTATAATTTGCATGGCGACAAATTTTACTCATGCGGACCAATAGTGTAACGAATTCCGTTACAGTTAAATCTGGGTTTTTACCGTCGGAAGTCGGTCGTCAATTTTAAAGGCCCATCTTGATCACATTGAACTAAATCTTCTATAGTTTTGTATTCCTGAGCCCATGTATCCCACACCCCGCCTTTATATATTTATCATAAATTGACATAAACGACAAACCAATTTTCAGCTAAGTCTTTTGAACTATTTAAGATAAAATTGCAAGTGAAGTTATAATTCGTGGAAGATCTGGGAGAATTACTGCTGTTTGGGTATTTATATTGCGAATCCTCGCATTACACACATAACCATAGACATAAAAATTACGTTTAATCCTATTTATTTTCAACAACTTCCCATCTCTGGGTTATATAATACATTTGTAACCAACCCGTAGAGGCTACTATAATTATCATCCACTCCTTTTGAATGTATCCATAATGAAAAAGTCTAGTTTTGCGATGATTTCCTTTTTTGGTCCGGACGACAAGGTGGCGGATGGACGTGTGTTTCAGTCACATATGCTAAACCCCACACTGATTATGAGAATCTAATTAATAGATCTATATACGCCCATATAAACTGAGTGGTAGGGGGGCGTGTAACACCACTGCCCTGACCAAATTCAGTTATAAAATAATAATGTATGTGTTAAGGACAAAGAAAACAACTGAAAACTGACATGTATATTCATATTTTGCTTATTTTGCTATTTATAATAAATATCTTATATTATAAAAAAAAAAAACTGTCTCAGACTGTAGAACAACATGACAAAGTTTATTAACAGGGGAGATCACTTTGGTTAACCCCCTTCTGGTCATCGTGTATTTTAATACGTGATTTTTTTCTGGCATCTTTGGTTAATTAAATGTATGTATAAAGGCAATACTGAACACTTTGACAAAACATTGCGATTCACTTATTACTAACCGATGTCCGATAGAATAACCGATATATGTACATGTAAACCAGTTGATCTCGAATCTTGCACCAATTTTCTTCTAACATGAGCCTATTAGTCTTGAACGAGAATAAAAAATAGTACAGTTGTTATTGTAAAACCTAAATCACCACAATATCAATATATACAACTTGTTTGACATAACACCAAGCACTAAAATCACTATACTATCTGTATACAGAATATCGACAAACCAGCATCGCAGTGTGCCACTGTTCGGTATCGGTCATACCTCTTATTTTAGTATATTTTGGATAGAAAACGAAGGCCGACACAATTCGGTGTAGATCTTTATCCCAACACAACATTGTCACTGGTTTTATATATATAATTCCATTGTCTAAGATACAGAAGATGACGGATAATCGGCATCCGTATCAACTACGTTTATTTCTTCAGAGTCATCAACTTCAGTAAATGAAGCGTATCCTTCTCTTGAATAACGTCTTTGCGTTTCACATGAATGACTTTCAAAACTATCATCATGGCAAGATTCACTGACATTTAAATCTGTACTTTCCTGATCGCTACAATGTCCTCCTTCAGATTGAGTTTTTCTCTGTCCTTTCTTTTGTTTCATTCGCCGATTCTGGAACCACGTTTTCACCTGAAATATTACAAAAATATTTATAAATTTTTGAAAAAATTTATAGTAAACTATACCTGATGAAAAACTGTTAATAAAAAATATTTTTCAATTTACCGTTATTTCAGTTTGTACAGTTACACCCGGGGAGTTAAATTACTTTAAGACAAATCTGCAAATCCATCACAGAGACATTTTAAATTTATGTTCGAGGATTTTAAAGAACGCTCGTGCGAACTATACACGGATTTGCAATAATTAGGCGATTCTGGGGTTAAGTTGAATATAACATTAATTATACATCTTAAAGGGCGATTTCTAGTGATTGGTCTTTTACTAAAAACATTATGAAGTTTAACTGTCGATAAAATATCAATTGATGGTTTATTTAGAATTAGAATTACACCGCAGTGCCCACTGAATTTGACATCATTTCCGTAATTGACGAAACTACGACCAATACGTTAATACATTTGTTTAGATTATATAAGATTCCGGTGATATTTTTAAAAATGGGCCTTTAAAGTTGTTTTGGGCTTTATCAATGATATACCTATTCCTGGAAATGGCGAAATTCTAGTAGTCTAGAGATGTATAATTTTGTATTTACCTGTGTTTCAGAGAGATTAAGTTGTGAAGCCAATTCCATTCTCTCTGGTGTAGATAAATATTTCTGACTTTCAAAGCGTTTCTCTAAACCATTCAACTGTTGATCACTGAAAACTGTTCTGGCTTTACGACGTCGACAGTGTTTACCTGGACTGTCATGTTGAAACAATGGTGCCAGGGGAATGCCAGCTGAAATACACGATATTCAAATTTCATATAAAATACATATCATCTATTTTTTAAAACGTTCTTTTAAGATGTAATTCAATAATTCATGTCTTTCTGAAAATGTTTTAAATATCGAATATTAATAATTTTAATTGCATCAAAAACTTGAAAAATTACAATTGGTGTGGACTGGGATTTTCTTTCATGAAAATTGCGTATAGTTTCTTTAAAAAAATAAAAAAGGAAGCAAATAAATGGGAAAACAAATACTTTCTTGGAAACAATTTAAAACAAAACAGGATTTTATTTTTAATTTTACTTAATATTATATTCAACAAAGTATTAGAATAATAGTGAATTTCGCGAAGAATTTGGGTTTTTCTGTTAGTTTTGACGGTGACTGAAAATTAATTTCAGCTTAATTATGGACTTATCAATGTCCATGTAATAACTCTGTCAACTCAACTGTCAATCAAATGATACCGACTACCGTAGAATAGTATATTAGTGTTATATTATGTATGTAAAGCACACTTAGGTAGCCGACTAGATTGATCTAATTCACCTGTTTTACGCCCTCCTGATTGCAATCTGTCTGTCTCGAACGACGTAATAGATCAACTTCTCTTTATACACTTGTGAAGTCCTTAACGAGAGTTATCATTAAGTTGACAGTGTACTAACATATTGTTCCTTCATTTATTACATAAATAAACATATTCTCAGTTAACTGGTATTAGCTGACGCGGGGTACTTGATAAAGCCGTTATCAATAGATGCTTTTTTAATTGTTGTTCAATTTGATGGATGCCCTACCCCTGTAATCGGCTGATAACCATATAGATCAGATTCAACAAAACATAACCCTGTTAAAAAAAATCAACACTTTTACTTTTATGACTTAATGACTTTACAATAGGTAGAAGATAAATTTATTAGAGGGGATGTAAGTAAAGATCAAAGCAGACCGACGGCTACATCTCGGAATTAAATATAAGGCACAAATGAAATGATATACCATAAAGTCTCGCCACATTAACTTTTTTATATCAAATTTTAACACTCAATCACTCTATAATTCAAAATGTGCCGCAAAATGTCCCCCCTACCCCTTTATTTCTTGTATCTCAAAATTTCCCAGGGATTCATCACTAAGAATATCAATTTTTAAACCTCTCTTCAGGAACGAATTTCCCAATTTAATTTCGAATTAATTATATTGTATTAAAATAATACAGTTAAGAGGTAATAAATCCCCAGTAGATGTACTGTTTTGTAATCTATGTCCCTGTTTAAAATAATTTTTATATGTATCAATATTTTAATTACAATAGCTATACAATCACTATTTAAGTTTAAAAGCGACGTTTCGTTGAAGATCCTCTCAACGTTATCAAACAAATGAAAATGAATATAATAACAACAACAACGTCGCTTTGAAATTAAAATTGAGATTGTATTCCATATAATGTTATTGTGTTTATTACTTATATCAATTGCTAAATGCCGTTCAAAACAAATGGTATATACATAATATGTTTCTTTCTTTATATATTATTTATTTTCTACTTTTTTATAAGACACAAATTGTTCACATAATAAATATTGTATAAAAACTCAGTTATAGATGTTTTTACTTATATGACTATATAATAGCTATGGTATATTACTCAGTTATCTATGACTGTATAATGTTTTACTATAATATAATATTTATGGTATATTACTCAGTTATATATAACTATATAATATATTTACTATATAATATTTCTGTTATATTATTCAGTTATATATGAATACATAATGTTTTTACTATATAATATTAATGTTATATTACTTAGTTATACATGTATATGCCTACATAATGTTTTTTTTAATGTTTTTACTATATAATATTTATAATGTCATCAAATATGATACAATCTTTATATTATTTTTTTATTTCTTTCCATATCCGATACAATATTCTGTATGTAATTCGTTAATAATTTTGTATATTTTTAGTTAAAATTTTTGTACATTTTACGTTAATAATTTATATATTATTTGTTAATACTTTAGTATATTATTTGTTAATACTTTTGTATATTATTTGTTCATAAATTGGTATATTATTTCTTAATAATTTGGTATAGTATTTCTTAATAATTTGGAATATTATTTCTTAATAATTTGGTATATTATTTCTTAATAATTTGGTGTATAGTAATTATTATTTATCTGTTATTAGTTATACAATATTATTCGTTATATCAACTTTATAATTTTTATTAATCTTACATAAATATTTTGTATAGATTTATAAAAAAGATTTTGTCGCAGAAGTATGAGCTATATTATGATAACACATAATTTTTATCTTGTGAGAGAAAGGTTTTAATCGGTGATCATATAAAGAAAGACACCCGCTTCTTTCTCATTTATATAAGCTAGTTATAAAAATGTATACTAATTATTATTATTATTATTGTTAACTCCCGTATTCTATTTCACTAATATCATTTGTCCCGTGTTTGTTTTTAATATAAATTTTTATGGTAGTTTTTTGACTTACCTGCTGTAGGTATAAGAAAAGCTGGGTGGTCTGGATGTTTGGGTAGAAATCCAGTTCCGTGCGTGAAAAACGGGTGTGCGTAGAAAGCTGGACCCCCAGGAAAACAATATCCATAATCCGGATAGTTAGCCCTGTTGATATTAGCAAGTGTATTAAAATCTCTTGCTAGTTGTTTAGGCTTGTTCAATAAAATATCTTCTATTAAGAATGAAGTAGAACGAGCACCGGTATTGTCTGAATACTGTGATAAATTCATTCTGTCTACTGATAATATATCCTGAAATAATTAGAATACAAAACACAAGATTAAGCACAATAATATTAAAAACAACGGGTTGCTTCGAAAAATCTAAACTATGTTTCCAGACTTAACTGTGGGTTCAATCAGAATAAATTTTAAATGTGTTAACTAAATTTATTTTCAAATAAATCACAATTTTATTATTAAAAATAAATAATAACTAAATATAACGCTTTAATGCATCGACATAATCAAAATATTATACTAATATCACAAACTTACAAACTGTATAAAATATTCCTGTTAATACTATAACAATGCTGATATTGAACTCTCGCTAGATCAAAAGTCAAAATACAGAATTAAAAAAGAAATCTCACTAGAACTATGACTGTCACTGACGAGATGTAACTGACAAGATATCGGTACATCAAAGTGATTTAATGTTGACAGACAGACGATGATATGACATCTGTCTCGATTACTTTCGTAAACACCCATTTTACCCTTCTCTTAATAACTGAACAAAACACTTCAGGTAGCAGCAATAAGGGTTAATATATTCATTTGTTAAGGTCAGATGTCTTTGTGGGCGGGGCGATAAACGGTCAATATCGGTCGCGATCGGCCAATCACCGATTCCCTACTGAATCATCTACTATTTTCCTCCTCATCTTGTCAAATATAGTAAACAGGTTTAATAGTATTTTAAATAGAAAATTTATCCAGTGAAAAATATTGGAATACGTAAAAGCCCCCCCCCCCCGTTCCCAAACACACCGCTCTTCTTATTATGATAGACATTGTTATTAGGCACTGTTATTAGATATTGAAATGATTTGTTTCATGAATTCGATCCCTGCATTGGCCGAGAAAGTTCATCCAGATTTTGTCAGTGATGCAGGACGGAGGGCCTGACAAGGAGAGCTGTTTAGTCGCTCGGATGGGACGAAAAACCGAGGTCCCGTGTACACATTGGCGTGCACTTAAAAGATCCCTTGACAGTTGGAATTCGATATAAGAGTAGGCCGTAGTGCCGCTGTCCGGGCAAAATTTCCCTCATAGCACACTGTATGTCGTATGCCAGTCTTCATTAGCCCAGTTCGGAGCAGAACAGTAGGAGGTTAAACCCCATTTCATTTTTTTCATGAAACGTACTTTGTTATTGATACAATTTATAAAAATATCACAGGAACAATTTTATTTACTTCCTGTTTTTGTAGTTTCTATACTTTAAAAAGGGATAATATAAATGATGTATAAAATCAGTGCTTTCCTTCATTAGTTTATATTATTCCATAGTTAATAGCCAGCAATTTGTCACTAAACCTTCGTCTAAAATTCTCGTTTCGGTATTGAAATCCGGTACGGATTTGTCGTCACTTTCCACGGTGAGTGAAATTACCCCAATTAGAAGAGTAAAGATGACTTTAATGGATATGGAGATTTAGTAAATACACTGATATTGCCACGAGCGACAGTTCCACTTAGTCTGGGTATTAAAGAATATTTTCTATATCAAGTTCGACGTACTCGTATAACTGGAAAACATCTCGTAAGAAGGAAATGAATTTTAAGAAAAAAAATTATGAGATGTTGTTATCGAGACACACTTGAATAGACTTAAAGGGCGTATGGCTCCATTCTTTGAAACCTTAAAATAGACGAAAATGCGTTTAAAAGCACATAATAATGTAATCTGAATGTATATAAAGTGATTTATTTAATTATTGTAATTTCTAATCAATTATGTTCGGTGAAATATGAGACCAGTCCAAACTGGTCCAAATTGAACTTCATGCATTCTTTTACGTCTTCTTAGTCCATTCTATACGTTTTTGGGTTTTTTTTTTATTATTATTTTGTCATTTGTGAATCATTACTAATTACTTCCACTTTGTCTTGTATGATGTGTTTTTCTTTTTTCATTACAAATGGCGCGTGAATCCATATAGAGTACACGATTCGTATACTGATTTTAAAATGTGCATTGTGTCTTAAATATTGGATATTAAGATCCCATTTTCACGGCAAGATAACAACATCAATATTGACTGAAATGGATCCATGTTGAAGTCTAATTCGTGCTTTTTAATTTCGAATATTATGGACACTGAAGGTTCAGCTCCTTTTATATTTTTAATTTGTGTCTGAGATGATATTCATAAGTTTTAAAATGATCTTACAAACAAGTATTTGTTAAGCAGAAAAATGTTTTATCAAAAGTTTACCATACGAGACCATAAACATTGGAGAACTATCTTTGTAAAATACTAGAACGATCACAAGCAATTTTTTTTAAAAAATCTAAATCAACGAAAAATTCTGTTGTTTTTCTTTACTCATTTTTTCGCTAACGTTGCTGAAACTGTAGATAACTTGATTCACACAAAATTATGTACGTCAGTGTAACATGTGAAAGTACTTGAACAGCTGGGTGTCCTTCATCCTCGGTATCCCCAGTGGTTTCATTCCGTTCTACTCCACTAACCCCTGGGTTAATCTATGGGGGAGACACATTTTCAAGTTATTCGCCCCTTGATGATTGTGCTATTTTCATCGACCAATCCCATGCATCGTTAATTGAAAAGGAAGTTGGCAAAGGGAAGTACCTCTCATCGGACAAGTTTTGGAGTTATTGATAACAAATTATATAATATGAAACTATAATGAAGACCGGACCAAATTGCCAAGTATACGTTCAATAATAATAAAAATAACAGAATGAAACATTTCAGATAGAGGTCGAATAGCAATAATAATAACAAAAGTCGAACATATTGATGTTATACATATTTGAAATCAGCGAAACATACTACATATTTTGGTAATACAATTAATTATAAATGAATTAGAAATATATACATTATTTACATAAATCATTCAGTAAATGGACATGTATTTGGTTAATTACCCTTATAAAATCGAAGGCGAAACGACTATTTTGTCAACTGTTTCTTGATTGGTTCGTAGACCTTATCTACAATCAAGGCCAGGGCAGATAATTTGAAATCGTGTAAACCCTATGGATAAACCCAGGGTATAGTGGAGTAGAACGGAATGAAAACACTGGGGATACCGAGGATGGATGTCCTTGCGGTTTTTATTTATATAAAAGATCTTTCGTTATTTAGTTTGCGTCGTTTATTATACAATCCATGACAAAAAGATAAGATTGTACTGTATATTGTCAATAATCAGATGATGTGTGGCGAACTTCAAAATGTCTACCAGCGGATGGTCGACATAATTCAATAAAGCACGTAGAATTTGATTCCTTTTCATTTAATTATTGGGCAAATTTTTCAAACTTTTTAAGACTCTTGTTCTAGCAAAGATTGAGTCTTCGTTAGACAAGTAAATTGAATGATTCGATTGTCCACTTCCAGCTGTTGTCGATTCTTTTTTTTTGTGTTAAAATAATTTTAATCAAAATTTATCAATCGTTCGATTACATTGTGGACAGAATTAGTGAAACTGACAATAAGTGAACCGGCCGCGTACAAGTTTATTAGGTTTTTGAGTAAATATAAATATAATTACCACGACTGTCAAAATTCTAGATTAATAATATCAATATAAACCCATTTATAACCAAACGTTACGAGTATTTGGTTTTGGTTATTTGTTTATTTTTGGGGGGTGGGGGTATGTGTACTTCTTTCTACAGACTCTACTATCATTATGTTGTATGTTAAATTGCAATTTTCATTATAAAAATTCTAGTTACAACTCATTCCTAAACTTTTCCTTCTCATTTTATTCTTTCAAAAAATTTAAAAGATTTTGTCAATACATTATTTGCCCTGAGAGAACTGCCACTGTATTGACATTATGAGTTATAAGTAACATATTTAATTAAAGATACATTATGGGAGATTCGATAACGAGTTGGCAGTTCTCTCTGTAATAGTTAAAAACTAGATACAGAATGTAAAGGCAATTTGCAGAAAATTTAATTCAAATTGATCCACTACGAATCGGCTCATAATCCACTAAAGATCGCAGCGATGCCATCTAGAGTTGATTATGGTCTGAATAGGTTAATTAATGTCTAATTAATAATTTAGATAACATTTTAGGCCTAAAGAAAGACCTGCAATAGGCAGATTTAGCTCTTGCATAATGCATGTTTAAAAAAAAATTCATAACTGACGAATGTTGAGAAGTTTAAAATGAGCTATTAGGTGACCCCCCCCCCCCCCCAAAAAAAAAAAAACCCCCAACAAAAAACAGCCAATTATCTGTAGAAATCAGGAAGATGTCTTAAACATTTACATCAAACTACCTTCATTCTTAAATATCTATATCAAACCAACTTCCGACGTAAACATTCTATCAACACAATAGACTTACATTAGTCAAACTAATTCTATAATGAAACAAGCGAATATTGAAAACAAGTTTGTCGCTAAATAAATATATAGGGTTTTAAAGAGAGAGAGAGAGAGAGAGAGAGAGAGAGATGGGGTTTAACGTCCACTCGACACAGAGTAGGTCATTTCGGGACTAACATATGGTTTAATTTTATTTAATAATTCGCTTGCGCGTAGGGGTCTTTAGCAGTGGGAGGAAACCGGGGGACCCGGAGAAAACCCACGAGGTTGGACAGGCAACCCTACTCCTTGTCACGTACAACCGGGGATTCGAAACCAAGCCATGCAGTTGACTTAATGACAGGCCTTATAATACAGCGTGCACGTGCGAACCATTCGGCCATTCAACCCCCCTTTAGTGTTTTAAAACTCATGTACCGTACACGTTCTAACCTTTATTTAAACTCTAATGGTTATATGAGTTTCTTGTGTAAGGCGTAATTATTCATATTTGGCAAATTAGTCTTGATGGCAGTGATTTAAACACATTATAGAAGAAAACGGTGGCTGAAAATCTGACTTGATGCTTGATAATTACGAGCTAATTTTCTTGCCAATAACAAGATTTATCATTCGGAGAACGTTACGGTTTTTTATGATAGTAACCGATCACACATCTTCGACATCCCCTGAAACGTC